GGGGGGGGGGGGGGGGGGGGGGGGGGGGGGGGGGGGGGGGGTTGTGCATGATGAATTCATCCGGCCTGTGAATACTTAGCAGCGCAGGCATGTGAATACTTAGCCGTCAAGTATGCTCTTTGAAGACATGAAATGAAATCTGAAGTCTGAAATCTGAAAGCTGAAATCCGATCAAGAACCGTTTTTTGGCCCGGCGGCCGGTGTGGCAGTTGATTCTGTGAGGGTGTCGGTGCCTTCCTGTGAGAGTCCAGTGAGCGGTGGTGCGTTGGGGTGGTTGCTTTCCCATGCAAGTTCGGCGCCCCTGTGACGGGGATCACACTCAGCACCCGAGTGGGACGGCTGAGCGAAACACACTCTGACACTTGTATTCAGTGAACTCAGTTACCACGATGGGAAGGAAGGCGAAGGAACGGAAAGGTGCATAAGTCCGCAAAAACTGTATTGTTGAACAGTGTTGGCAGCTGCACTCGAAAACGATCGGACACTCTGCGCGGCCTCAAGTCTGCTGCAAGTCTGCGGTGGGGAAAAGGTTTGGGGGTGGTAGCATGAAAAACCATGGAAACAAACAAGGCAAATTAGACAGCGTGGTCAAAAGTTCAGGTAGCAGGTACACGGAAGTGATCAGCTTCCGCTTCCTAGGATCTTGCAAAGAGCTTCGTTGGGCAGAGCTTTGCAAGTCCTCTCTGCCCCCCTGCCTGATTGGAGTGGTCGAAGGAAACCCTTTGTCCAGGGGTGGACACACACACACATACACACACCCACACCCACACCTCTTCCCTTCTCTCTTTTTCACCATGGAGAAAAAGAACAACCTCCTTTTCAGCGCGCGAACTGATGCGTCGCACATGGCGTGACGAATTGAGGCCTCATCCCGGACAGCGATGACGAATTCGAGGCTGAGGACTTCCACAACCAGAGGCACCGTTGGGTCCGCAGAGGTCCGGTGCACCGTCCGAAAACTGCTGTTTTTCCACGCACGTGAGACACCAAAGTGCTTGGCTACTTGGAAGCCAAGCTGCGAACCAAGAACTGGCTGTTGGTTGCCTTGCTTTGGCGTTCGGCTCACATGGCACGGCATCCACTAAGATTCCCTCCCGGTAGCGAACTGCGGAGTGTCACAAATGGGTCATTTTGTTAAGCGAATGTGCATTCTTTGAGCGAAAGCGTCACACGTGACAGACGATAGACGACAGACGACTGCTAGGTATTGGACTATCAATAGCAGCGAGGAAGAAGAGATGGTCGACGATTGAGAATGCGCAACTCGAGCAACTCGACCGATTTGGGATCCTCACGAGGGTGGCTAATCTGTTAAGCAATAGTATTCGGCGATTTGGCTCGGAAGGTAAAACGGTTGTTGTCACCCATGATTCATCAGGTGAACCTAAGGTTGACACGTGGCTTCGAACGACTTTGCTTGCACCATGTTGATAAGGAGCAGAACCAAAGATTCAAAGGAACATTGAGCAACTAGTAATAACTGGCCACCAGTCACTAGGGGGCACGGGCACTTGTGTTTTTTTGCCTTCGGCCTGTCTCTGTGAGCTGAGATTCGTTCAGAAACAGTCCATGGAGCATAGTTGGTGAATTTCCGAGCGAGGCGCTCCCTGTCCGAGGAAATCCCCCTGTCCTTCGCGTCTTCGTTCAAGCTTGCCTTGACATGCTTTGGCAACCTGTGCCTGACCACATCGAGCCTGTACAGACGACGCGGCGCTCAGGATGTCAAGTGTTTTCATCGATTCTACACTTGCCGCGAGCTGATGTAGATGTTACATGATATTACAGCAATGAATTGCATTACATGTTCACGAAAGAGAATTGCATGCTATGTTTTGTCTCCCCAAAGCGAAGTGCAATCCATCACCAGCCAGCACAAGTTTCTGAGATTCAAAAGGTCTGATCAAATGTTACTTCGTACGGCAGAGGCGACAAGTTATGCTTCCTTTTGCCCATTCACCAAGCTTTTGACAGCCAACGAGCGTACCTCCTCACCCAAATGAACGGCAACCTAGTAGCGTCCTTACTAATAGTAAGGCCAGGAACCCCTAGTAGCGTCCATGATCCTAGTAGCGATGCCCTTTGTTCCTAGTAGCTTCCTTTGCTCCTAGTAACTTTTGGAAACGGCAAGCAATTCCGTGATGTTCTTCAGTCGGTCGCAGCCCTTTTGATCTTCCCTGTGTAGTGTGCACGAAGCACGGAACAATCTCCTCAGCACACCAAAAGGTGTTTCTTTTCGCGCTAAAGTTCATTTACCCAGAATTGGCCGAGGTTGGCTCGCGTTGAGTTTCTCTCGGTGTCTGGAACTAGACACCGTTTTAGCAGTTCAGTTTGGTTTCTGGATTCGACATCCAATCAGCACTTTCATAGTAGTCTTTACATGATAATCTACATGCAACCGTCCAACCGTCCAACCCCAAAAGCGTCAACTTAAAGTGTTGTTTGCGAAGGGATTGGCAGAAACCAGACTTGAACTCTGCACTGGATACAGAACCAGTTGGGCGCGGATCACTTGAAATGATGTCAATGTGTCTTGTCCAAGAGGGAGCGTAGCTACTAGCAGTGTCCTTGCTATTAGTAGCAATGGCCTCCAACCTAATAGGGATGGCCTCCACCTAGTAGCTTCTTGCTACTGGTAGCGGATGATAGCAGCTTTCCAAACAAATTTGTTTATTTTGTGCGTGTCATTGGATGACAGATGACCCATTCTTATGTCATCTAGATACAGGGCTTATTTGGAGATACACCTGACAGCTGACAAAAGAAGGGAACGAAGAAAACAGGTCTCAAGGACCCTAAAGGGCAAAAAGTCTAACGGATTCAAAAGGATTCCTAGTAGCTTCTTGTTCCTAGTAGTAAGGCCAGGAGCCTTAATAGCGTCCTTGCTCCTGGTAGCGATGCCAGGAACCCCTAGTAGCCTCTTGTTCATAAAGCAAAGAAACAAGAAAAGAAATGGCCAGGACAGGAGCCGTCGTTGGCCTTTGATCTCAGCTTGGAGCCCCGGGACCATTTTCTCGCCCAAGCCCGTGGCACTAGCACCAGCAGAGTGTGTTGTGTGACTGGAAAGGGTAGCGCTTTTGCCGCTTTTGCCGCTGTTAGCAACCAAAATGCCATACTAGCATGTTCTAGTTTTCAGCATCAGGATGCCCTTTAAGACATTTTCGATCGGTTTTGGAAACAGCAAGGTGAGAAATTGGTGACACAGTGACACATGAGTCATTCATTCGCTAGTAGGTTGGAGGCCATTGCTCTTAGGTTGGAGGCCATCGCTAGTAGGTTGGAGGCGATCGTTGTAGGTTGGAGGCCATTGCTCTTAAGTTGGGGGCAATCGCTAGTAACCGCTAGTAGGCCCACCCCACACGCCAAGGTCTTCGAAGTTGGTGGCGCTCACCATGCAATTCTTGCAGCCGCGGGGAGGCCACGTCTTCGCGTGCCACGCCAATGCAGAGAGATGTAGTGAAACAGTGAGAAGCAAGAACCATCGAACGTTTTGCCATTCGGTTTCCCCATTCGGCACTTCCCAGCACTTTGAAGGCCTGGCTTGGCCTGTCATTTTTCGATGACACGCGTGTGGCCCTAGCTGCTTCGCGAGTCTAGTTGGTCGGATGTTGGTCGGTAATGGTAGATAATGATTGCCTATGAACGAATGTTGTGCTCGTATATTGCAATAGGATCGTGTTTTGCTTTCGATGCCTTTCGATGCTTCGCGTTGCAACCTCCAAAAGGTCTTGGAAGTGGACAATTGTCCCTCCTTCAAAACCCTTTCCTCTACATTCCTCTCTGCGCGGTTCGAACCCGCCTCGCCCGATCCCTTGACGATTGGTGGAGGGCATGTCGGAATCCCGACCCCTCTTGAAAGTCAATTGGAACATGAGTCTATGAACCCATGAAGTAGTATATTGCCGACCTTGAGGGTAGATGGTGGTAGCTGCGGGTAGCTGTTAGGAAAGGGTTTGCAGCCACCAGGTTTGAACAGCCGCGCGCTGTGGACATTCAGTGTGTGGTGCTGCTGCAGGGCTCTGGGCCACAGAACAGCAGCCAGAACGTGGCCTGGCGGAGTCCTGGAACGGGCCTGACGGCTTCGGGGTTGATCCAATTCGAGTATCAGTGGTCAGAGTCTTCTGACGTTTGACCCGTATGGAGCCCACAGGATGTTTGTCTCTTGCATCCACTTCCTACATCTTCCTACGCTTTGAACTTATAGTAGAGGCTGGCAGAGCATGTAGTTAGAAGATGTTAGAAGTAATGTAGAACTGTAGAACATATTAGAACCTTACTACTTCTTGCATGCATGTTCAACTGCACTGGATGTTTCCAATGCACAAGGACACAATTCAATCAGCAAGCGCTTTGATGCATTGCGTTCAGCATATCAAGAGAAGCAAACATTGCTGTTTTCGCCAAAGGTTACTGTCGAGAGATGGGACGGCCTGGTATTCACGACTGTGAGCAGGAGATGAAGGGATGTCAAAGTTTGACACAAGATCCAACCTTTGCTGCAGAATGATTCTTAATTAAGCTAAAGCCACCAGCATATCTTGATAAGCGATTGTGACCAAACTAACGATATATCCTAACTTTGCTTCAAGTGCACGTCAGACAAGCCTGGCAGGTTCAACTTTGTCCCGGGCGATGAGTTTATCAAGTTGCGCTGGAAGCTGAGATTGGGAACCCATGGTGGCCCATGGAACTTGTGATAGGTCTCATGTTAGCTACTAACATCTGAAGGCAGCTGGCAATGCTTGGGCGGCCGATTGGTGGGAAGACATGGACTTGTGGTTTCACCTACCCGCAAGCACACTTCTGAAAGGACTGAGAACATTAAGAACGGAGGACGGAGGACAGGACATTTAAAGGAGAAGCGATACAAGTTACAAGGGAAAGAGGAAGCAGGCTAAAACAACCGAAAGAAACACAACGATATCTCTTGCGTTCCTGTATCATTTTGTGCCCACAAGCTACTAACCCTACTACCTAGAGGCCTCAGGTTTAGAGGCCTCACACTCCATTCCACCTTGATGTTTCTTTCAGGTTTGGACATTCCGAGTTCGTCACCGAGTGCTTTGGTGGTGGACTTTGAGCGAAAGGATCCTTTCTGCGATGCCTCGTTGGCTTGATGGGTTGAACATGCAGAAAGATGTATGAATCAAATTCAACATCTTTTTTCTGGGAATGTTTCTTTTGGAATGTTTCTCTTTCTTTCAGACTTCGCAGATCTAAAAGACATGCATATCTCAGAATCTCTCATAGCTTGTTGAGCTCTGTGTCGTGCAGGCCTTGCTCCTTGCGGCCTTAGAAGAGACCGACGATCCTGCAGCGAAGAGGGACACTGGAAGAACAGCACCATGGGGCCATAGATGCTTTTTTCTGCATACAGCAATGGCCTCCAACCTAATAGCCATGTAAATGTTGTTTTTTGTCACTGCAGCCCGTTCTTTGACGCAATGTTCGTGGTAGCATGAGCAAAATCAACATTTATTAAGCATGCTGAATCTTTGAGAAAGGCTTCAGCTGTCAAACTAGGTTCTGGTACTTCTTGCAAAGTTTGAGGGGATGAGTATGGATAGCGGTATGGATTTATCCAAGATTACTCCAGTGTAACGTGAGTCGTGTGGAGTGAGTTGCATGCGTGTGCATGACACCCGTCAGGGCATCGACCGCTATCGCTTGTGTTGAAGGTGTTTGTTATCGCAGGACTCTTTGGAAGCAAACAACGACAAGATTCAGGCAGACGTTGTGGCACTGGGGTGGATGCTTGACCAGGAGACACCGGATGAGGATAGCCTGACCTGGGGCCTGATGCATGTGCACTAAATGACCTTGCCGGAGCGCAGCCAGTGCGTGATTGGCTGAGATGCAGGCTGAGTTGACGATGCTGGTGTCCAGCTGGCCACCAGAGCTGCTTCGAAGCAAGGCACCCAGCGGCAGCTTGCTATAGCTGCAATGCGTTTAGGTGGAGGCCATCGCTACTAGGTTGGAGGCCATCGCCAGTAGGTTGGAGGCCATCGCTACCATTGGTTATGTAAGCTTTGGCAAAAGGCTCGGCTTGGCGGTTGGTATTGTAGCATAAGTGGTTGTTGCGCTGTCCCAGTCCCGAACAGAAAGCATTTACAGATGTACTGGGTGCCAGTGCAACTTGAATGAGTGTGCAGTGGGTGACACGTCAAGAACATCAATGCTCCAAACCAATGGGCACTTGTCAACGAAGTTTGTCGGGGATGATTGTTGTTGTGATGTGATGGGATGTGTGTTTAGACTGGTCGTCGACAGGCCAGAGCAAAGCAAGAAGGAATCTGACCATAATGACCGACGGTAAACTTGTAAACAGTTTGCAGTCCTGCGAAACAGATTGACCAAAGACTGCGCGCTACAACGAGACCAGGCCCACTTTTATGCAAGTCAGTACGCCAATGCCGGTTTGCTTCCATCAGTTCTTAGTTTTCAATTGGTTTCCAGCCAGCCCTTGTTCCTAGCATATTTGTGCCCCACGAGTTTGAAATAGTGAAGTCGTTGATCGAATGGCCGCCTCTTTACCACTCTCAAGCGACAACTCCCATGGGTGGGTCCCGGATCCCCGTGGCTCATGTGCTGGTGATAGGCCACTGCCTTGGGTTGGCCTTGCTAGGCTTTGAGGTGTGGGAGAACCACCAGCTGAGGGCAGAGCTTCGATCGGTGACCCTGGAATTGGAATCCCACCTTGGTCGAGGATTTCAAGTGCTTCCGGAAGATCATCCGGCACCAACGCCAGAACCCAGCGGAATCCCCCTTGACTGGTCCAAGACTCCGGAGATCCAGCAGGGGGTGTGGGTTGCAGGCAGTTGGGGGTCGACAGATTTGGGCAAGCTTGGGTTGGGCCTGGTTTTTCTTTTGTTGGTCTTGCTCCTTGTTGGATTGTGGTTGGCAAAGCGTGAATTTGCAGGGGATTCGACAGTGGTTGCAAGCTCTCCGTCGGACAAGCGAGACTTGGCAGCTCGCCAATTGGCGGAGTTGAGACTGAGGAGACATGGCTTTGGCCAATAGGTATGCCTTGGTTGAGTACAACGTTGGTGGCCCACGCCTCTGGCATGAAAGGTGGGTCACAGAACACGTTGAAGGGGACCAGTACATTGTTGTGACCCCAGATCGGGACGTATATCTGGAGGAATTGGGGCTGCTGAACGATGACATCCGCACCATCCGTCTCAGGCCGGCTATGGGTATATTACCTGCTGGAATTGTGGCTGGAGAAGTATACCCCCTTCCAGCATGGGGGGCGAACGACCTTGCTGCTTTGCGGGATGAGGCCCGTCGGGCTGCTGAGGTTGAGAGACGTCGGATTGGGGCTGTCGCCCCGGCTCCAGTGGCTGGTGGAGGAGCTCCTGCCGCCGTCGCTGCGGCTGTCGTTGTTGATAGCATTGATGAGAAGATTGGTTATGCCTCGGGTACATTGAAATGGTTGTTTGCAGAGAGTTCATTCGGGTGCAAATTCGGCCAGGAGGCCCGGGGTGTTGCAGTCGCATTGACAAAGGGTGCAAAGGCAGTTCACGTGTTGGCAGATGGGAATTCTGTTTTCATTGAATGTGTGGACGGTGCTGACTATTTCAAGTTTTTGCAGGGTCCAGCCCGATGTGATCACAGAGTGCTCCCAATTGAGTTGAACAACATGGAACTGCCGGAGGTTACATTGAAGGATGTTGCAGCCCGCAGCCATGAGGTCCCCATGCGGTGGCAGTTGGCTGGCCCCCGCACCGCCCGATGGTGCGTGAACTATTTGGCCATCGAGAACCTTGGCTTTGAGGGCCACCACGAACGCCTGCGGCAGGTCACCAAGGCCGACGCCTCGAGCTGGGGAATACAGGAGCACTTCCAGACCAGCATGTCGCTGAGGACTGCACTTTTGATCGATCAGGTCGATCCCTACAATTTGTTGAGCATTGAAGTGCAATTCAGGCGGCTCCAAACCATCGAGTTCTCGTACAGTGAGAAGGCCAGAGAGGCCGAATCCAAGGCTGTGGGAGGACGGTTGAGCTTGGAAGAGCAAACCACGTTTGGAGGTGTGACACGCCAGTACTCCACCCTGATGATATGTCCAGATTTATTGGACCATGTCAAGATCGAGACGGAGAAGGAGGCAAGCCTGGCGAAGAACCTTCGAAAGGCACGCGAGGAGAGGGAGGCCGCTCGGAGGGGGAAGAAGGGTGGCGGGAAGGATTCGGAGAACCCCTGAACTCAGGGGTGCCTGGTTCCTATGGCCCTAGGGATCAGGCGGTACTGGAAGGGCCGGTGCATGAGAGGCAAACCCAGAGAGACATCTATCCCATGCCACCTATGCCGAATTCAGAGATCCCTGCTGGTCGTTTTTCGAGGAAATGTCGGAGAAGGATTGGGCAGAGAAAACATTTTGAGGAGGAGGTGAATCACACCATTGATTCATTGAACATTTTGTTTGGAGCAGCTGGCAAACATCTACAGCACAGTTGGGGAGCAGAATACATGGTCCCCAATGCCGCACAGAGCCAGGTGCTGGAATTTGTGAAGAGTGCATGTCGAAGGGTGGGCAAACCGCCTGCTACTTCGGGCTCAGAGGCCCTTGAGGAGCTTCGAGTCGCCGAGGGCTATGAGGACTTGCCGGCCTCATCGCCCTTAGGATCCTTCAACCCTGACCTGGTTTCATTGCCGACGGCGGAGACGAATCCGATTCCGTTGTCGCATCTTTGGGGCCCGGGCGGGCGACAAGAGGTGGAGGATTTCTCACACACTCAAACATTGAGCACAACAGAGGCCGAGCAGAGACTGCTTGACAGTGGAGTGGAGAAGTGTTATGAGGACCCTCAATTTCGTGATCCCCACAAGTATGCAGAGTTCATCAAAAGATTGTTTACATTGAAACTTGTGGACATGAGCTTGCAGCCTGCGGTTGAGAGAGTTGGCATATTTTTTGTGAAGAAAAAGGGGGGAAAGCTGCGCATGATTTTGGACTGTCGACGGAGCAACTGTCATTTTGCCGACCCCAAGCCCATCAAACTGGCTACAGGGGAGGCAATGGCCAGAATAGAGTTGGAGCCCGATCAGCTGCTTTACACCGCTAGTGCAGACTTGCAAAATGCCTTCTACACCATGGAAATGCCGGCAGCGCTGAGGCCTTACTTTGGCTTGAGGAAACTTCGAGCTGGAGACCTGGGCATCACAGAGGTGCAAGGACAGGCAGTGAAAGCAGAGCAGTGGCTGCATCCTAGGGTGGCGGTCATACCTATGGGGTGGTCACATGCCATGTGGTGGCGTCAGAGGGTTAGCGAAAGGATTTGCACCAGGGCGGGCTTGACAGAAGCAGAACGTCTTAAAGATGGTGAACGGGCCCCCTCCGGAAACTTCTTCCACATACAATATGTTGACAACTTGCATGTGTTTGGCACTGACAAGCAACAGGTCGAACAACGATTCTGGAAAGCAGTGCAAGCATTGCGACAGGTTGGGCTTACAGTGCATGAGATTGAGTTCGACGAGTCAGACATGTCGGTCCTGGGCTGGTCTATTGCTAGCAGTGCAGTCTTGTCCCCAACCTTGAAGAGGCTTTGGAGATTGCGGCTGGGCATCAGAGAATTGTTGAAAAGAGGTTCAGCAACAGGCCAGCAGCTGGAGCGTATCGTTGGGCATATCACCTTCGTCTCACTTTGTCGGCGAGAGAGCCTTGCAGCCCTTGGAGAAGTTTACACCTTCATCCGAAGGCACTACCGCCAACGAGTGCGGCTATGGAAAAGTGTCAGGCGAGAACTCTGGCTTTGGGACGGCATTGCACCTCTCATCTTTGTTGACATGGCTAAACCTTGGGACAACACCTTGTACTCGGTTGATGCATCTAACTGGGGAATGGGGGTGGTTACCAGCAGCTGTTCAAAGGAGGAGGCCCAAGCTTTAGGAAGACACTGCGAGCGTTGGCGCTTCAAGGATGAACAGGCTAGCAATCCGAGGTTTTTTGTCAGGGCAGAAGATGAGTTGTTGTTACAAGGCAGATACATTGACCAGACAGGTGGTGCAGACAGGACATTCAAGACCGCGGACTTCTCGGCGGTGAACCGTCGATGGACAGTCGTTGGCCGCCACCGTTGGCTCAGGCCGGACTCCATGCCGGTCTACGAAGCAAGGGCTACTTTGTTTGCAATCAGGCACGCATTGAGATCGGTCGCCAGTTTTGGAAAGAAGTACATTGTGTTGACGGATTCGATGACGGCCGCAGTTGCTTTTGACAAAGGTAGAGCCCATAGTTTCAAGTTGAGAAGAGTCTTGCAACAGACAGCTGCACTGTGTTTGGGGTCTGGTACATTCTTTCGATGTAGGTGGATACCCAGTGAGTGGAATGCTGCTGATGGCCCAAGTCGGGGCAAGTTCGTGCCTAGTGAGCCGGTTAGGGAGTTCACCGATGATCCACCGGCAGCTGGGGATCCCAGTCACTTGGGAACGAGAAAAGAAGAGGAAGTCAACACCGGTGAAAAGAAGCCCCCAGCCACCAGCACTTGGTGGGGCCAAACAAGCCGGTGGAAGGGCCGCAGCAGAAAAGCCGTTGACATGGGACATCGAACTGAGTGGAGCCAGTGCCTCAGTGAAACAAACCAGGAGGGCGCAAAGGCGCCAAGCAGCACATGCCCTACAGCCACACAATACCCTCAGGAGAGCTTCAGTGAGCAATGTGACCCGGAGCCGGTACGATGCCCACTGGGCGGAGTTTGTTCAGTGGACACAGAGAGCTGTTTCGATCCGGACACCGTTGCCTACATTAGACCGCCTTTTGACGGACTATCTGGAGCATCTATACCTGCAGGGGGAGGATCTCAGTCGGGCCAACTACATCACGGCTGCAACCATTTATCAGGTGCCAGGGTTGAAAGGTTTGGCATCCCTGCCAATGGCACAGCAGTCCATGAAAGGATGGAGGAGGTTATGCCCGCCAAGATCTCGGATGCCCATCCCGTACGAGGTCACCTGTTTGTTGGCACTCCAGGCATGCAAGAAGGGCCTCGTCGAGGTTGCCCTGGCAATGATGTTGATCTTTTCACTCTACCTGAGGCCAAACGAGGCCTTTTTGTTGAGGAGCCGAGACATTGTCAGACCAGTGAAGAGCAAGCCCAAGGCCTTCAAGCATTATGCAGTGGTGTTGCACCCGCTGGAGGAAGGGGTCCCTTCAAAGACCCTGCAGTGGGACGAGATGTTGAGCCTGGACTTGGACTACCAGAAATTCTTGGGCCCAGCATTGGTGCAGCACCTACAGCTCGACAAGAAGGACCCCGACGAACCGGCCTTTTCAATCAGTGCGGAGGATGTGAACAGCTTCATGCAAGGCCATTGGGGAAGTCTAGGGTTGACGCCCTTGGGACAGCCCCACCTGTATCGGCTGCGACATGGGGGCGCTTCGCACGAGGCGGCTCACAGTCTGCGAGAGTTGACGGCCATTCAGGCCCGAGGCAGATGGCAGGCCCTCAAGTCAGTCAAAAACTACGAGAAGGGCGGCAGACTACAACAGCTGTTCGGGGCACTAAGCGCAGGCACCAGAAGGGCAAGCCTCTTAGCAGTACAACAGCTACCAAAGCAGTTGCGTTGCCAGCGCTGAGTGCGATTGTGAGGCTTGTGCCGTGCGTGTTCTTGGAAGTGTTCAGCGGATGTGGAAGATTAGGTCGCAGTGTTGCAAGGCATTGTGGCTGGCCAGTTCTGTTGTGGGACATTGACTATGGAGACCAGTATGACCTCACGGTCCGAACAAATCAGATGCGCATTGTGCATTGGATTACAAGTGGAGTTGTGAGAGGTGGTCACCTTGGCACGCCCTGCAACAGTTTTTCTCGAGCTCGCGATAGGCCTGGGGGGCCTCCTCGGCTTCGGACTGATGACAAACCCCTTGGCCTTGATGGTTTGAGAGACGTTGATGCTGGTAAAGTGCGTGTTGGTAATACATTGATGTATTTCAGCTGTCGCATCTTGAGATTGGCAATGTTTTGGCGGATTCCATTCACCTTGGAGAACCCTGAGCGATCACGTTTGTGGCTTTGTCCGGCAGTGAAGAGTTTGTTGAAGCGGAGGGGCACCTCCTCCGTGGTCGTACACTTCTGTGCCTTTGGCACCAGCTGGAAGAAACCTACACGTTTTTTTGGGGTCAATGTTGAGTTGGACATTTTGCAACAGTACATTTGCAAATCTTCAAAGCGGGGGCTATGTGCATACAGTGGCAAACCGCATGTTGCTTTAATGGGCCAGACGGCAACCGGCGTTTGGCTCACGAAAGTTGCCGAGCCATACCCCCTTCGTTTGACGCACAAGCTTGCCCAGGTGTTTCAGAACACTGAGTTGTCTTGGTTGGCTAATGACTTTGGTAAGCACTTGATGTGAAGCGGCTACACCAGGTGGCTTCTGTTCTTAGCTAAACAGGGCAAAGCAGGGCAGTCGACAACATTGTGCATTGCTGGACAACATTGCATTGTACA